TGGAGCTGCCCAGGCACACGACATTTCTGTGGTGCCCTAAACAAGCATGCAGTGAAGTGATGCACCGGTGGGGAAGCTTGGACGGGATCTCCCCTCCCCAGGGAGGCCATCCCCAGGCCTCGCACAGTGAGTCCCTCCCAGGCACACGTGCCTACCAGCAGTGACGTAGTTTGCCTTTCTTTCTGCATGGTCTCTACACACTGCCCTTGACTTGCCATCTCCCCGTGAGCTCCCCCTGGTGGCTATATCTCATTTCACAGCATGGCTTTGGTGGCCCTGAGGCAGGTCATGAGACAGAGTCAGGACTGACTGGTTGAGGTGGTGGGATCTTCATGGAACCACCGTGAGTGGCACCTCAGAGTCTGGGCATGAGTCCTTACCCTTTAAGTCAAGTGTGTCGGATTCTAGAAGCCAGTGTGGGGCCTCTTCCCCCATAGTAATCAATGACGTCAGCCAGAGCCAGGATTGCTGTCGGAAGCCGTGTCTAAGCCACTGGGTGTTTGCTCAAAGTGCACACCCAGACCTGTGGAAGCAGAGCTCTGGGTGGCAAGTGCAGCCAACTCTATCACCAAGGAGAATTCCGTGGGGTCTGGAGACCTGGGGACACAGACATAGCACTCAAGTCCAGTAATCTGGACAAAGACCACACCCTCCAGAGGCCCAGGAAGGTGGCATGGACCAAGAGGACAGTGGCTGCCCCAGGCCCTGGGGGCCAGGAGATCTGCAGGTACATTCACAATGCCAGCAAATGACCACAGGTTCCCAAGACAGGCCGGGGCCTAGGCAGTGAATTGGGAGAGGCCACCCTGCCCCTAGAAAGGAGTAAACGGACCTGCTTTGGGCAGTGAACAGCTCAGGGTCTCTGCTGCTGTTGGGGTTGCACTTCTGCAGAGCAGCCAAAGCTGCTGTTAAGAGGATTCCGACATAACCGTACTGTAGGACAGAGGAGGACCACACCGTAGAGTCCCCAAGGTTATAATCAGCACGGAAGCAGATGCCACAGCATCTTCCCAGACAGTGGCTGGTGGTTTTGAACCTCCGACGTTTTCATTAGCAGCCGGGCTCCTTGAGTTCTTGTAAAAGTTCATGACTAAAGTGCCAGCAGCTGCTCTGTGCTGGCGGTTTCCCCTGGCCCGGACAATGTCCTCCCCAGGAGAACCAGGTTTTCAGAAATGGGCTGGTCAGAGGTTTCCAGAGGGATGGGACAACAGAAGGAGACAGAAATTTCTGTAAAGCTGGGACAGAGCAGAAAGTGACTTTGTTTCAGATATGCCTGACCCAGGCCGTTACAGACATAGGGGCTTGGTAAGGGCTCCACAGGGTAGGTGGGCCTCTCCCTCCCAGAGAGTGAGGGGAGACAGATGTGGCAACATGGGTTAGACCACAACCAAACCTGCCACTGAGTCAATTCTGACTCAGGGCAACTCTGTATTGGATTTCTGAGGCTGTAAGTCTTCATGGGAGCAAAGAGCCTCATCTTTCTACAACAGAGCAACTGATGGGTTTGAACTGCCGACCTTGCAGTTAACAGTCCGGTGCTTATTCTACAGTGCCACCAGCGCTCCTAGTGCAATTTGCTAAATTCCGTCCAGTTGGTTCTGAGGAGTAACTGGTGGGTTTAAACCACCAGCCTTGGAGTTAGCAGTTCAGAGCTTATCCAACAGATCCACACCAGGTCCCAGTGTGGATCAGTTGTTGTTAAGTTTCGTTGAATAGATTCCGACCCATAGCGAACCTGTATAGGGTTTCCAGGGAGCAGCTGGTGAGCTTGACCCACCAACCTTGCAGTTCAAACGACTTTGCAGTCTGATGCATTAGCTCACAGCGGCACACCAGTCTGTGGGACAGTTTTGAGGACAGCCCCAAGCTATTTCCACACCCAGGCCTCAGCCAAGAAAAGTACCTGTCCACCTTTCCAAAAGGCGCTCTGGTAGTGCAGTGGTTATGAGTTAGGCTGTTAACCTCAAGGTCCGCAGTTCGAAACTACTACTGGCTCTGCAGGAGAAAGATGAGGCCTCGGAAACCCTGAGTCCAACACAACCAATCTTTCCATAAAGTTAGGGGTTCCAGAAATCATGGAGGAACCGAGCCTCCCCTGCGATCCTCAATTCCTGGCTCCAGTTGGAGGCGATCAGGGAGGGACAGGGAGCCATAGTGGCTGTCCACACCAGGAGACTCCAACCCCTCAGGGTTCCCACCTCATTGCTTGGTTTTGATTTGCCCTTGAAGCAGAAAGTTGGCTACTCCCATCTGTTTACATAAAACTGGTCTCCCACAGGTACTTGTACTAAACGCTTAGGGGACCTTACTGAGAACCTTCCAGCTCCAGGCTGGGGAGAAAACTGTTCCCAGGCTCATCCATCATCACTGCCCCCACTGACCGGAACTGTGGCTTTCCCTGACCGGCCCCACAGCCCCAATTCCCCCTATTCCCAGGAGTGGGAGGCCCGGGCCCAGAGGTCAGGACGCCGGTACCACCAGGGGAGGTCCGCGGGTGTCTTGGCCTGACGCCTCTTGATCCCGTGGCTCCATCCCTCCTACCTCAGAGCCCCTCCCACTCCCGGGATCGCCCCGCCCACACAAGGCCCCGCCCCCTCGGGCCGCTTCCTGCCCCTGAGCTCACATTCCACCTGGTCCTGACCATGGTGGTGCTGAAGGGCATTCCCGCGCTGCTGTCCCCGGAGCTGCTCTACGCCCTGGCACGGATGGGGCATGGAGACGAGATCGGTGAGCGCAACCGGACAGCGCCCCGGACATCCGGCCCCACATCCCTCCCTGTCCGTCAGGTTCCCGGTAGGGCTGGGCCCGAGGAGGCGGTCCGGTTCTCTTCGAAGCAGGAAGCCCCAACCCTGCGTTCTTGGGAAGCCAGCAGTCACGAGGGCACTGCGTTCCGGGCGGGACCGTGGCCCTGAGCAAGTCCGAGGTCTCCTCCTCTAGCCTGGATGCCCTCGGGGCCAGAGGCAGCCACGTTGGGTGATGGTGGGGCCACGGCCTTTGGGACGGGGTCGGTGTCCTCCCCTTCCAGACTTCCGCCGCCTTGCACTGCTCAAGGGGCCACAACCAGCCGCCTCAACCCCTGCTGTCCAGACGGGTGCCCTTTTCATGGGGAGAAGGCTGTACCTGGAACTCCATGGGGGAACTCCAGCCTCCTGGACCTGGTCAGCGCCGTACTGCCTGCTCGGAGGACCGGGACAGGATCTGGTGGGATGTTAATTGCCTTTTCCTCCAACCGGCTTTCTCGGCCCCACCCCCATCTGGTTTTTTGGCTGTTCTCTGACCAGTTGGAGCCTGTGCTGTCTGACCTCAGTCCCCATGATGACCTCCATCATGGGATGAGCAAAGTGGACAGGACTGCACAGAGGGCAGATGGGCCAGTCTCGGAGGCACAGTGTTGGGCACGGTAGTCTGACCTGCCTGTACGTTCAGTCCTTGCAGATGCCAACTTCCCCACTGCTTCCATATGCCAGTGCGGCCCCATGGAGATCCGTGCTGATGGTGAGCTGTCTCCCCCGCTCCCAACCCCCGGGGGTGGGGGCAGTCCTAGTCCTAACTCCGAGGCTTTAGGGGCTACAGCATTGCCACACGCCACCTTCCTGAGGCTGCTCCCAATAACCCGGGGTTCTACGGCCCTCTCTGCATCCTTAGACCCCAAATGTGATCACCCGGCCCCTCCACCCAGTCTGGTCCCACAGCGTCTCACTGTGGGGACTTTGTACAGATGGGAGACCAAGACTGGAGGTCCCTGGTCGGCCTGAGGTCATTTGCCCTTGCTTCGTGCCCAGAGCCATGACACCTGCCCTGAAAGTGTCCTCAGTGCCTTCTCACCCTTGGACTGTCTGATCTGGGAAGGCCATTGCCCCTCTGGGATCAATGGACTTGGGTTGTACCCAAACATGTCCAACTCGGAGACAAGGTGTAGACAGGTGTGGAGGCTGAAGCAGGAGGAAGGGGGTGTGTTCGCTGTGTCCTACACACAGCTGCCTAATTGAGCTTGTCAACTGGCCAGCCCAGTGGCTCCCTCGTGCCTGGAGTGCCTTGCCTATCTGGGGACCACATGGCCTCCTTGGTGGCTGAGCCAGACTCTGCCCCTACCCCTAGGCCTGGACATCCCTCAGCTCCTCGAGGCCATGCTGAAGTTGCTGCCACTGGACACCTACGCAGCGAGTCCGGTGAGGACCTGCAATGGCCCTGCCCCTCTCCTCCCAGACTGAGGCGCCCTACTGGTGTTTTCTGTGGGGAGACATGTGCTGGGCAGCTGGGGTGGGTGGGAATGGCCTGGCTGACTGCCCCTTCCCCCCAGGCTGCTGTCATGGAGCTGGTGCCCAGTGACAGGGACAGGGGCCTCCAGACTCCAATATGGAATTACTACCAGTCTCTCCTCTATGAGAAGGGCTGCACGGTGAGCCCCCCAGACCCCTGAGACCATGTGCTCACTGCTGGCTTCCACCTGGGGCTGAAGATGGAGTGACTGGGCCACACACCCTTGCCTACCTCTGCTTTAGGTCCTCATTCCCCAGCCCAGCCCCAATAATTCCTCTGTCCTATGGAGGGTCTCCGGAGCACTGATGGGGGGTCCCCACCTAGGAGCAAAAGAGAACCCAGGTGGAACGTGGAAGGTGACTGGCCCCTTCCCTCATCACCAATCTCTAGTCCTGGCCCACACCCAACCCTGCCTGTTCTCGAAGAGTGGCCTCTGTCTGCTGACTGCTCTCCGGAGCACGCAGGGACCCTGGGGGGTTACAGCTCCTGAGATCTGGGTGGGACAGGGACTTGTTCCCTGTGTGTTCCCCTAAGAGTCCTCCCAGAGCCTCGGGACTCCTAACCCCCCACCAAACTCCCTAGACCTCATCTCTCGGGGATTCCTGGAACAACCTTGGACCAGGACAGAGCACTTGGCCCTCTTGGAGTCTCCGATCCACTGCCTTCTGATTCTGCCCAGCCTGCGGGAGTGGCCACTTCACTACTGGTGCCTCGGGTGGGACCTGAGTCAGCTGGGCAACTCAGCCAGAGCCCAAGAAAGGCGGGCTCCTGCGACCCACAGACCCCAATGGCTACCAATGTTTGTCTTCCAGAAATCGCTGGAGAAGGTTGAGCGGTTTGCATTTTATGAGCGGTCCAAAAAGGCATTTGCGGTGGTAGCCACTGGGTGAGTCTGTGGGCATGACCCCCACCTCCCAGAGGCCCCTTCTCCAAACCAACACCTTCGGGATCAGTTGGGGGACCCTCAGCCCCACAGTGTTCCACAGACATTGTCAGGTATTGGGAGAACTGCCCTGTTTGTACTTGGGCATCTGCCCATTTGGTGGGATGAAGATGGAAGAAGCCAGGGACTCAGCAGTGTCCACCCCTCAGCCCTGCCTTGTGCTGGGACCCACGAGGACCCCCATGTGCACCTCACACAGGGAGACTGCCCTCTACGGAAACATCATCCTGAAGAAGGGGATCCTCGGCCCCGATGACCTGCTCTAGGCCTGGGAAACCCACCCTGTGACTGGATGAGGAGTCGAGGAGACGGAACCCTGACAAATTCACCCAATGGTCCCTCACGGGCCGGACAAGCCCCAGCCCAGGTGGCTGCAGCAAGCCACCCTGGCCTCCAGCTATGGGCTCCTGGGGATCCATGTATGGGGAGGCTTCTGATCACTGAAAAAGATGTAAGAGCGGTTGTCAGTGTGCAATCGCCAGAACATAAACCACACCCTCATTCTTGTCATGAAGACTCATCTGGCGGCGTGTCAGGGAGGTCAGCAGAGCAGCCCACACCATCCCAGCAAGTCCTCAGTTGGGAAATGCAGCGTCAGTCTCCCCAGGGGGGTGGGGCTCTGCAGACAGGACATTGGGTCAAGTAGGGGCTAGGGCCTAAGGAGAGTGGGGCGCTGGGCCCTTTTAAAGGAAGAACTGGGAGCTTCCACATGCCGAGTGTGGGACTGTGACCCAGGTGTACAGCATGAACAGCCTGGGGTATGGGCTGGTCGAAGGGTGGACGCTGAGCTGGCTTCATCTAACAGGGCTTGACGGCCCCTCGTGAAGTTTTCCTGGGTGTGGAGTGCAAACTCATAGTTCAAAGTCTTCAAGAGCAGTTTGATTACTGAACTGGGTCCCAGGATTGGGAGGAATCCCCCCTAGGCCATTGTCCCAGACCTGAGGCTGCTCCTCAAAGGACCTCTCACTGCCCTGAAACCTCGTGACAGCCATGCCGATGGGGAGAAGATGGACCTGAGGCTCTGAGACGGATAGATGGCAAGAAGGTGGGCAACTTGACTCCAGGTAGCAAAGGAGCCACAGACCCCAGTCCCCCGGAGTCTTGAGTGGGCTCTGTTCAGCTCCCTGCACACAGGACCTGCCTGCCCTTTAGGGGAAAGAAGGCAAGTGAGCTGATGAGCAGAGGTTTGGGACCTGGCTAGGGAGGGGCTGGGCTGGGCTGGGCTGGGCCACAGACTCTGGGGTCTGTCTCTCCAATGTGCAGCCCTCAGGCCCGTCTGGTCATTGCCTGGCCTCAGGCCTCTGATCACTGGCCATGTAGGGGTTTATTTTAGACAGGTCTTTGGAGGTTTAACAGGCATCAGCTGTACACACTGATGGATTTGGGTGTCTGTACACCTGGGGAAACATCAGTTAGGAGTCAACACACCTGTCACCCCAGAAGGGACCCACATCTGCTCTCTGTCCCTATAGGTTAGTCTGCGCTTTCTCAATTTTTAGGAAATATGGAATCGTACCATATGTCCTCTGGCTTCTTCCACTCAGTATAATTATTTGGAAAGCGGTATCCCATCATGCAGCTGTTACACACTTGTTCACACATTGCATGTTGACGATGGTCGGGTGGTGTCCACTGCTGTGGACAGTCATGCACAAATCTTGCGTGGACAAACTTTCTTATCTCTTGGGGACTAAATACCTAGGAGCGGAATGACTGGATCATGCAGCGAGTGTGTATTTAACTTTTTAAAAAAACGGCCAAACTTTTCTTTAAAATATTTGCCCCATGTCATTCCCACCAGCAGGGAGGGGGGTCCCAGTTGCTCTGCGGCCTCATTTAGTATGCTCAGAACTTTTCACTGTAGCGTCCTGTTGAGTGTGTGGTAGCAGCTCATAGTCTTGGTGTGCAGTTCCCTGCTGAACAGTTTTCACGGCTTATTGGCCATTGGACTTTTCTTTGGTAATGTGACTGTTCAAATCATTGAGCCCGTATCTTACCCTGTGTACCTGCTGGCTCAGCCTCCCCCTCCACATCCTTTCCTTTCTCTGACACCCCTAGCCGCATTCCATCATGGACGGGAGAGGGTCTGAAGGGACCAGAGCTTTCCTGGAGCTAGGAAGCTAGGACTCTCAGGGCCAGCTGAACCTATAGGGACATTCAGTATGACACTGTGGAGACACACACACCCCAGGAGGATACAGCTCTGCACCTCATTCCTAGCAGCTCCTGGAAATGCACACAGCCTTCCCACCTTCGGTTTCAGGTGTTTATTTTTCTAACAGCACCTGGAGAGGGAGAAGCCCTCCCTCCAAGGTGGGAAGGGTGGTCAGGGCCCTGAAGGGTGGTAGATGTGATCATGGTCTTCCTCTGGTCCCTGGAGCATCTGGAGAAACAGTGCTTCCCGAGGCCAGAGCTCCTCTCCGGGGACCTCCTCGAGCCGTTCATGGTAGAATCCATCTCGGTCCGGCTCAGGACCTTGACTGGGGTTTCGGAGTTGGCTCAGGATGTCCTCAGCTTCCACCCAGACCTGAGCACCTGGAGACACAACAGCGGGAGCTACGGCTTCAGTTCCCCTCAAGAGGTCTTGTCCACTCCCCTCCCCTTCTGTCTACAATCTAGTGGCTTCCAGCCCCACCTGGCGGCTTCTCCTTGCCAGTGTTGGCGGGGGTCTTCAATGCGGGGAGGAGCACCTCAAGCCGATCGTCCACCTCTGGAGACTCCACTGCTCTAGCCCCCCAAGCCCTGAAAACACAGGGGGTCAGGTCCTGGGGCAGGTGCCACCCACACAGGGAGGGGTGTGTGGCCACCCTCCAGCTACGGCAAGGTCAGGTCCAGCAGGAAGAGGGACAGCAGGTGCGCAGCTGGGGTCACACTCAGAGGCAGAGGGCAAATCCTCAGTGCCACACCCAGGTCTCAGGAAGGACGCCCAGGGAAAGGCCATGGGTGGGGAGCTGCTGGACTGGAGGGGGCACTTACTTGTTTGTGTCCTGCTCAGAGACCCAGTCCTCTCCTTTGAACTTGGCAGGCACCTGAAGGGTAAGTCACAGGTTGGGGCTCTGTGCAGCCCACCAGGGGCCTGAGTTCAGGGAAGCCCACTTAGTGTGGGCCAGGCCAGTGCTCAGCACAGCCCAGGGGGTCCACAGGCATGTCCAAGGGAGTTCAGACCCACCCTCAGTGGTCAGGGATGGCCGGGTGGAGAGTGCACCTAGCTGTCCTGATTTGGCTAACTCCAGGTGAGAGACCTGAGCTGGGCTCCTCCCCACTCTCTCCACGGCCACTCAAGGTGTCCCCTCCACGATGTGCACTCGCTCTAAAGTGTGGATTCAGGGAGTACCGCTGGCCGGGTCACACTGACTGCCATGTCCAGTACTGGCTGTGGTCAGACACAGCTGTCTCAGGCTCTCAGGACCTGCCCCCTCCTGAAACCCCAACCCCAGGATGGTCAGACCTGCCTGAGCCCCAATTATCTCTGTGGGCCACAGAAGGACCCCCAGCCCCACTTGCTCTGCCTCTTCCAGGTTGAGGGAACAAGGGAGGGGCAGATGGCAGAGCCAGAAGGTCTGCTCCCAGCCCTGATCTCTGGTCCAGATGAGCAGAGGCTCCTCCTTCACCTAGGCCCAGCTCAGGGGGTGCACCTGCCCAGCCTCCCATGAGGTGGTCACAGGTCACTTGGGCTTGTCCAGCAGATCCAGCAGAGGGGAGTCCACTCAATCCTCGGGAATGATGCACGCAGGCCCTGTCTTGAACACCCCAGGTGGTCGGGCGGAAGGGGAAGGACAGGGAGGGCCCCCAATACCTGAGGGACAGAGGCCGTGCCTGCCTCCCTCAGCATCACAGCCACCAGGCTGGCGACCAGGATGAATCTGGGGAGGAGAGAAGAGTGTGGGGGGCATGTTTCCAGCAGCTTCCCGCCCCACCCTCAGGGGGAGCCCAAATGCCGACAGGTAGAGACAGTCAGGTGCTCTGCCCCAGTGGAGGCTCCACATCGGACAGGGGCCATGCCTCACACCCGTGCCTACCTTGTAGGTGGCAAAGCCATGGCTATTGGCATCTTGACCCCCCACAGCCATGCCCACACTAACGGGGCAGAGTGTGCACAGGGTGCTCAGTGTCCAAAGAGCCCTGAGGACCTCTGGACCAGGCTGGACACCACTCTGGCCCTGGAGCCCCAGAGCAGCGGCTGGAGAATGGGGAGGGCACGGTTGGCGGATGGGTATCTGGGACGATAACAGGCAGGCACAGGGGCTAGGGGGTGGGTGAGGCTCAGGAGGCGGGTTTATGTCAGGGAGCCTGAACCTGCGCGTCTACGAGGGCAAACGCAAGGTAGTGGAAGCTGAGGATGCTCCTGAGCAGAGGTCATGACCAGCCTGAGCATCAGTGACCAGAAGGCAGGATATCGGGAGGACTTGACTCAGACACGTGTACACACAGGGCTGACAGTGACTAGTGAGTGGGCGGCCACTTATCCAGCCTTTTGAGGTGAAGGTGAGTCAGAGGCCTCAGCTGTACACTGTCCTTTCCTTGATGTCAGACTAGTGGCCCCACAATGGACCCTGTGAGCCTCCAGTGGACCCCAGGGAACTTTAGGTAAACCTTGGCTCTGTGTTCGATGCTTCTGGCCTGGGAGGGGGGTCTCCGGCTCCATCTAAGGAGAGGCTTTGCTGTGGGAAGTGTCCTCGGCCCCCCTCGCTCAGGGCTACTTCCTCAACCAGTTGTTAGGTGCCCTCAAGTCAGCCCAGTCTCATACTGATCCCGAATACAGCGGAATGAAACACAGCTCGGTCCTTCGCCATCCGTGTCATTATTACCATGTTTGAGCCCAGTGTTGTAGCCACGGTGTTAATCCATCTTCTTGGGGGTCTTCCTCTTTTTCACTCACCCTCTACTTGACCAAGCAGGATGTCCTTCCCCCAGTACTGGTCCCTCCTGACAACATGTCCAAAGTAC